AGATCTAGAACACTAAAATGTACAAAAATTCACTTATCTTTTTATTTCAATGTTATCTTCATATTCCTGGTAGAATTGGCCGACGAATAAGAAAAATATAACTCAGATTAGAATAAGCTATTTATTTATAAACAATAAAGCACGGAACAGAAAAAAGGATTTTATGTAACTGAATTATATTTGTTTCTGAACGCATCATAAGGTGTGACGTAGTGACGAGTGAACTTGAGCTCTACAAAATATAACAAACTAATAATGTCTGAAACTGTTTGCAAAATGCGTAAAGGGTGTTTAATGTAAGCCGGCAAAACCATATTTAGCAAATGTTTGCAAGTTTAATTTTGTGACTACTTTGGTAGTTTACCGATTTATAATAATTGTATTTATTGTTGACCAAAAACATATTCAAACACATTCATATATGAAACACTGACACGTATGACGTAGGTAATCAGTATTGTGACGATATTTCAGAAAAATCACGGGCCAGCCTGCTGTTAATAATACTATCGAAAACATAATTGCGTTTTTAAAATAATTAATTACTATACCTACGATAAAATACAATAGTCTCAAATATATACTAGAGAAATATTGCAATTCGAATCAATGAAAACATACATACAAAATATGTATAATACACAAGAAATTCCGCGCGCAAATCATAGCTCGTGACAACCGAAATCAGAATATTATATTTTATAACAAGTCAAACAAGTGAACGTACGTAAGTTTGGCAACGCTTTTGTTTCTTCAATTCAAGGTCAGGAATACGTTAGTACCGTAGACTTCTCTGTCTACGGTTAGTACTCTTATCAGTTTGTTGTCAGTAAGGACGGCAACGTCGCTTTACCTACGACTTTTGGTATGCCACACAACTATAATAAGTAATAAAATTGTTTACAAAAAACATAGGTGTCTAAGATCATTAGTTTTATGTTATTTTATATTGTTTTTTTAACGGTTGGAAAGGAAATTAACCAATTATTGAACTTAAGATATTGATTTATCAGAATTATTTAAGATCACTTGGATGCCATCTAGCGTGCCAATGTTTAAACGTCGCCTTTCGTTTGCTTGTTAAAAGTCACGCACACTACTAAAGAAGTGTCAAATTTTTCCGTGATTTCACTATTGTTTTTCTCGGTATATAATGTAAGTTATTGCTGCCTATAAAGGTCAGAGGCGTACACATTTCATTGTAGAGAAGTGATAAAATGATTAGTTTTAAAGAAAGAGTTTCTGTGTTTAGTGTATATTTTGGTTAAAAAATGTATGGGCGGACGGTCGACGTCCACCTTAATGTAATTGGTCTATAGTTATTAATATTATTTCTGTCACCTTTTTATGCAATGGTATAACAACGGATAATTTCAATTCTTTAGGAATAATTCCCGCTTCAAGTGACTTATTAATGAGAAAACATAATACGTCTATGATATTTCCTGGACACCTCTTTAAAACTTTTGTTTGTATTTCATCACAGCCAGTAGATTTTGTGTTTTTAAGTGATGAAATATGGTTCTTAATTTCCGTTTTATCACATTATTCTATATTTTTGGTGAGTTTGGAAAGTATTTTAAATCGGGTTTGTTGTATTTCGAGGGATCCATAGTGCTTCTAGCTTTACCGTGTAGTGGCGGTTAAGAATATCCACTACCCCATATCTTCCCGTGGGTGTCGTACGAGGCGACAGAGGGAGACAGGCAGGAGATGGGCAGCAGCATCTTCCTGATAACAGCAACTGTACGACAAAAACTGCGGTTGCCAACCCGCTCGCCAAGCGTGGCAACTATGGCAATATCCCCCCATGAAGAATTACACAAATAGACGGCCCCCAGTCCCCGGCGGCCCCGCTATTCCTGGCTACGGTGGCGACCATGGTAACGCCAGGGCAGGGGTGATAAGAACCTCCGGTGTAGGTTCGGTTGCCACCTACGACGACACGACCTGGCAACATATAACGCACGCACCTTGAGGACTGACTAGAAGATCCTGGAGTTGGACGAAGAGATAGACAAGTTGCGCTGGAATATTATAGGATTATCCGAAGTCCGAAGAGAGGGGGAGGCCGCGGTGATTCTCGAATCCGGCAACTTGTTCTATCTCCGGAAGGGTGGCTATCTGCCCCAAGGAGGTGTTGAATTTATCGTCCACAAGTCTCTCGTTAACAACGTTTTAAAGATTGGGAGTGTATCGACGAGGGTTGCGTACCTTATACTCAGAATCACCAAACGATATTCGCTGCAGGTCATACAGGTTTACGCACCAAGGTCGGAACATCCCGATGAATAGGAGGAGGAAATGTATGAGGATATTTCCAGAGCCATGCAATCCTCCAGAACTCACTATACGGTGTTAATGGGAGACTTCAATGCAAAACTAGGCACAAGAAAGAACGGTGAGTTAAAGGTAGGGACATTTGGGATAGGGCAACGGAACCCAAGGGGCCAGCAGCTGGCCGACTTCATGGTGAAAAAGGGACTCTTTATGATGAACTCTATCTTCCAGAAGCGGCCCCACAGAAAGTGGACCTGGTCGAGGTCCGACAGTTCGACAAAAAATGAGATTGACTTCATTATGACGACTAGACGGCAACTGTTCACTGATGTCTCAGTGATCGCAAGGGTGAAAACTGGCAGCGATCACCGAATGGTTAGAGGCACACTGAACCGTTAAGTTGGAGAGGTCTAGTTTAGATGAAGAGTCAACGCTTCGTCAAGGTCGTGGAAACTGTCCATGCGGTTGGAGCTAAGATCTGCAAGACCCGCCGCAGAAGGACACAAAACTCTCCTTTTCACACTCTTACTCACTCTTTTCACACTCTTAATCTCATGTTAGACGGGAGATGAGGCTACAATCGTTAGCAGATTTGACAGCATACAGGCAACTGAATAAACAGATCTCCAAATGCATGCGGCAGGACTTACGCAACTTCAATACAGCTCGTATTGAAGAAGCGATCGAGCGGAACCAGGGCTCCAAAGCCTTTGTTAGAGATCTGTCTGCCAGAAATAGCCAACTGTCAAAGCTGAAGACTGAGTGTGGCAGCATCGTTTCCGGGAAACCTGAGATTTTGGGTGAGATTGAGAGGTTCTACGGGCAGCTGTACATATCATCGTTGAAGCCACACGTGTGAGTAACGATCAAAGAGCAAGTCTTATCTGACACTATTCCGATGATATCCCGGACGTCAGTCTGACCGAGATTAGAATGGCTCTCCAGCACCTTAAAAACAGCAAGGCCCCGGACGAGGATAGAATTACAGCGGAGCTTCTGAAAGCGGGTGGAACACCAGTACTTCAAGTCCTTCAAAAGATCTTCAATTCCGTCCTCCATGGTGGCACTACTCCGGAGGCGTGGAGTAGAAGTGCGGTGGTCTTGTCCTTCAAGAAAGGTGACAACGCTCTCTTAAAGAATTACAGACCGATTTCCATTTTGATCCGCGTCTACGTGCTGTTTTCGAGAGTCATTACGAATCGTCTCCCACGCAGACTCGACTTCCAGCCTCCCGAACAAACCGGTTTCCGAAAAGGCTTCAGTACCATAGACCACATACATACTCTGCGGCAGATTGTACAGAAGACCGAAGAGTGTAATCTGCCACTTTGCCTGGCGTATGTGGACTATGAGAAAGCCTTTGATTCCGTCGAAATTTGTGCAGTGCTACAGTCCCTTCAGCGGTGCCAAGTTGACTGTCGGTATATCGAAGTGCTGAAGTGTTTGTACAGTAGGGCTACGATGGCTATCCGAGTACAGAACCAGAGTTCGAAACTTATCCAACTGCAGAGAGGTGTAAGATAGGGTGACGTTATATCCCCGAAACTCTTCACCGCTGCATTGGAAGACGTTTTCAAGCTACTGGACTGGAAAGGATACGGTATTAACATTAATGGCGAGTACATCACTCACCTTGGATTTGCCGACGATGTAGTCCTTATGGCAGAATCACTGGCTTTGCTCAGTGACCTCAATGGTGTCTCCCAACGGATAGGTCTTAAGATGAACATGGACAAAACAAAGATCATGTTTAATGTCCATGTCACACCTATGCCGGTAGTTGTTGGGAGCATAATGCTCGAAGTTGTCGACGAGTATGTTTACCTGGGACAAATAGTCTTGACTAGGTAAGTCCAACTTCGACCGAGAGGTAAATCGACAGATTCAACTCGGCTGGGCAGCGTTCGGGAAATTACGACACATCTTCTCGTCAGGTATACCTCAAACTCTGAACACTAGATTGTACAACCAGTGCGTGTTGCCAGTGATGACTTACGGATCTGAGACGTGGTTCTTCACTGCTGGCCGTATGAGGACGCTCAAAGTCGCTCAGCGAGCTATGGAGAGGGCTATGCTCTGGGTTTCTCTGCGGGCTGCGGGATAAACTTAGAAATGAGGATATCCGCAGTAGAACCAGAGTGATCGAGAAAGCCCAACGGATTAGTAAGCTGAAGTGGCAATGGGCCGGCCGTATAGCTCGAAGAACCGATAACCGATGGGGAAAAAGGTTCTCGAGTAGCAGCCTCGTACCGGTAGGCGTAGTGTAGGGTGACCTCCCACTAGATGGAGTGACGACCTGGTAAGACATGCAGGAAGTCGATGGATGCAAGTGGCTCAGGACCGTGGTTTGTGGCATTACTTGGGGGAACATAGGTTCAGCAATGGACTTGTGAAAGGCTGTAATGATGATGATGAATGATAATGCTTCTAGTCTTGTACAGTACTTGTGTGTGGAAGAATACGTTCACTTTTACTCCTACTTGGTATTTTTACTCGCGGGGTGAGTAAAAATACCAAGTAGTCGCGGAACATGGAGAAATTGTCTTTCCGAAAAAAAAATCAATTTTTAATTCCCTTTGATTCGAAATCTGAGAAAAAACAAAAATCTATCTTTAAGGAACAAGAAATCGATTCTTCTATTAATCGATATCAGATCGTCATGCTTATTTGTGATGTATATTGAATAATGTAAGTATATAGTAGTGGTCTGCGTTGTGCAGCGGCCCTGTGTGCGCACGTGCTGATGGCGCGCGCTTGCGCGGACGTGGCGTTGCGGCTGGTGGGCGGCGGACGGCGGCTGGACGCGCGCAACGCGCACCAGGCGCCTGTGTGCGTGGCGCTGGCGGGCGCGCACCGCACCGGAGCCGCGGCCGTGCTCGCCGCGCGTCTGCTGCACGCACACGCGGCGCGCGCGCACGTGCTGCCCGCAGGTACATACAGCGTGCAGTACAGTAGTGTGCGTGCGCTGTCTGGCGCGCACTGCACCGGCGCCGCGGCCGTGCTCGCCGCTCGTCTGCTGCACGCACACGTGGCGCGCGCGCACGTGCTGCCCGCAGGTACGTAGAGCGTGCAGTACAGTAATGTGCGTGCGCTATCGGGCGCGCACTGCACCGGCGCTGCGGCCGTGCTCGCCGCGCGTCTGCTGCACGCACACGCGGCGCGCGCGCATGTGCTGCCCGCAGGTACGTACAGCGTGCAGTACAGTAGAGTGCGTGCGCTGTCGGGCGCGCACTGCACCGGCGCCGTGGCCGTGACCGACGCGCGTCTGCTTCACGCACACGCGGCGCGCGCGCACGTGCTGTCCGCAGGTACGTACAGCGTGCAGTACAGTAGTGTGCGTGCGCTGTCGGGCGCGCACTGCACCGGCGCCATGGCCGTGCTCGCCGCACGCCTCCTGCGTGCAGCACTTAATAAATAATTTATTATGGGCAGTATGAAAGTGGCTCCAGTCACGGAAAAGTTTAAAAGTAACAGATTTGCAAATTATGGGCATATTATGAGAAGGGAAGTAAACCATATAGCATAAAGAATCCTGGCTACACAATTAGATGGATATAAGAGTAGGGCAAACACCTAAGTAGATATGGATGGAATGTTATTAGGGATGATATGCGTAAGCAAGTAGTGAGTAAAGAGATGACGGATAATAGAGGAGCATTGTAGAGGAAGACATGCTATACCAACCCTTAATAACTTAGAATAAGAGCAGGAAGAAGAAGAATCTACGGGTGACAAGAAAACAGTATCGTAATTTTTTACATATACACGCAGTTTTCTAGAACTAAAATAAAATTTACCTGTTAAATATTGAATTTATAGGAGATCCTGTAGCTGCGGCGAACTGCTCGCTGCTTCAGAGGGAGCTGGCCGAGTTTAAGCTGAACGGCGGCAAAGTCGTGAGCTGCACGGACGCATTGCCTAGCCCAGATCTGGTGATCATCGCATTGCACGACCCACAGGAGCCACACGAGCCCGAGCAGTACGAGTGAGTCTCCGCAGTCTCGTAGTCATACACAACCGAGCAGTACGATAGAGTACTCTGCAGTCTCGTTACCACACACACGCGAGCAGTATGATTGATTACTCCGCAATCTCGTTGCTATACACACGCGAGCAGTACGAGTGAGTATTCGGCAGTCTCGTGGCCACACACACTCAAGCAGTACGAGTGAGCACTCCGCAGTCTCGTAGTCAAACACATCCGAGCAGTACGATAGAGTACTTTGCAGTCTCGTTACCACACACACGCGAGCAGTATGATTGATTACTCCGCAATCTCGTTGCCATATACACGCGAGCAGTAAGAATGAGTATTCGGCAGTCTCGTGGCCGCACACACTCGAACAGTACGAGTGGGCACTCCGGAGTCTCGTAGTCAAACACATCCGAGCAGTACGATAGAGTACTCTGCAGTCTCGGTACCACACACACGCGAGTAGTATGATTGATTACTCCGCAATCTCGTTGCCATATACACGCGAGCAGTAAGAGTGAGTATTCGGCAGTCTCGTGGCCGCACACACTCGAACAGTACGAGTGGGCACTCCGGAGTCTCGTAGTCACATGCACTTACTACCGGTTTAGTCAACATCTTTCAATTTAGTTTATTGTAACTTGAGGTATTTTTGCAATTTATACAGGATGTTTGGCATAATAATCATAAAGATTATATTAAGCTAAACTTGTCTTAGACGAAGTCTGCTTCTTTTTCATTTGAATTTCTAAAGATTTTTAACAATAAAAACCTAAAGTTTTTTTAAAATTAATTGCTATATATATATATATATAGTATTCAGTAACAGTTGCTATTTTATTATTTTTTATTTACGTAATGTGTGATAACTCTAACAAAATAATTTCCAAGCATCTTCATCATCAGAAAAACATTCTCCGTATATTTAAGATTAAGAAAGCAAATAATAATTTACGAAATGTGCTTATGCCATTATAAAAAAAGCCTTTGTTGATCAAACCTATTTAAAAGATGCTTAGTTATTGGCCTTTCTTTGGAGATGTTATTTACGCAGATGTCTCATCAACTCTTGGAATTAGGACCAATAAAACAAAATTTTTTGTTAAAATAATTTATTTTTCGTGTCCAAAATGTTGACCGCGTTTTTCTGACAAGCGCGGGCTCGTCTTCTCTACTTCTGTGGTCGTAATTTTCATCACCTGCTTCATAACTTATAAAGCCGTATGGATTCTTCCTATTAACTCCCCTCTGGTTGATAATTCTACATTCCTGTAGACGAGCTGCTTGGCCCGTCCCCATACGAAAAAATCCACAGGAGGTAAATCAGGTGATCGAGGTGGCCGAGGGATGGGCCCGACTCTCTCGATCCAGTATTCTGGGAAACATCCATCTTGCTGAAAGATCATTAGTCTTGCTACCGATGTTGGTATTTCGGTTGGTAGTTCGGCTCGTCCAGAAGCTCAGGGAGATCGTTTATCAGGAATTCCAGGTGATTGTCTCCATTTAAATTATCTTGGTGGGGTGGGGACCAATCAACGTTCAGCCGAATACTTCTGCCCACACGTTTTCTGAAAATTTCCCTGGAAACGACATTTGCTTCTTCCAGTGTGGATTGCTGTCCTTGCCAACCCATCGATGGAGGTAATGAGAGTTGGTAATTCCTTCTTTCAAGAACTGACTCATCGGTCTACAAGATGGATTTTAATAAACATTCATTTTCAATGTCACTATTTATGCAAAAAGCGACAGAACTGAATCATTCGTGAGGGGTCTTCATTTTCCAAACCTTATACACCCGTGCCGTGAAAAGGATACTTGTTTTCTCGGTGCATCGTATTCTAATAATAATATATACGCATAAATTTGTTACATTACACAATTCGAGTCTTCATTCTTCAAATCGAGTTTTCATCAGATCTCAATCGTTCTAAAGATCTCAATGTGGCATAGATCTGGTGATAATATGAACTGATTCGGACGAGTAGATTTTGAGAAATCTCAAAAATAAAAATTTTGAAAAACTGTTTCTTTGGAATAACTTTTAAACGGCTTTACCGATCGATTTCAAAAACTAATCAGCTCTTAACCTCAAAAAATGACGTCGAATGTCGTTTGGAAAATAAAAATCGGTTCATTCGTTCGTGAGATATCGAAGGAGAAAGAATTTGAAAAAAAAGTTTTTCAACATAACTTTATTTATTTATTTTTATTTATTTATTTATTGCACCAACAAAGTACACACTATTACACGCAAAAATATCAGAAAACAAAAAAGAAAGAAAAAAACATACAAAGTGCTACTTCAATTATAGGCGCAAACAACATTCTCTTAAAGTCTCTTACATTAACTTATGTTGAGAAGCAATTTAATTTATTTATATTAAAATGTATGCATTAATTATAAGGAAGTTATTATACAATTAATTAACTTATTAGTACTATTAACAACAACAATAATAAAATTTTATCACTGCATTACATTTAACTATGTCAAGAACAACAACAAATTGATGTTTTTATCTTTATTAGTTTTTAAATAATATATACTTCGAGATTTCGCAATATAATTTGGTGAAATTTGGATCGCTTTGCATTTGAAATTAGCGGGAAGTTCCAGAGATGGCCTGCAGGTTCAACCAATTTTTTCTAATAATTACCTACCTAAGACAGTACCTATCAAGTTACATATTGTATTCTTGTTTATGTACTCAGATAAGTCTCGCAACAAGCTTTTATATAATATAAATTGTGTAGTAAAATATATTGATGCGTTTGATTTAGTAAAGTAAAAAAAGTAAAGTTACAGCCTATATACGTCCCACTGCTGGGCTCAGGCCTCCCCTCATTTCTGAGAGGGTTTAGGGCAAGGAAGTGTCCGCCGCGCTGCCCAAATGCGTGTTGACGAACTTCACATGTCTTCGAAATATTTTTTTTTCTTATTCCTCAGACATGCAGGTTTCCTCACGATGTTTTTCTTCACCGCCGAGCACGTGGTAAATCAGCACTTAAAATTGCAATTAACAATTTCATTGGTGCCGGCGGGGATCGAACCCGGGTTACTCGCGTTCTGTTATATTTACAGCGAGCGTTAACCACTGAGCTACCACGGCTCTTGGCGTTTGATTTAATTTAGTTTATTTTCTTCTTTTTAAAGCATATAAATAAAAGCTTGTTTTTAAAAATGTTTTTTTACTATTAATTTATTTTTCAGTTATCCTGGACATGTTTCTAAGTCTGTATATTTCATTTATGCATCATTGTTGGTTTTTTATCGCCATCTTAGATCAACCATTTTAATTTTTTTTATCGTTAGTATTTGATCCTTGTCAGTATTTAACCCTTCAATCCCTATAAAAATCTCATGCAGTCGCATATGTCTGGCAAATCCCGAGTGGTCGAAGCGGCATTATAAAATTTATACAAAATTTTCTATCCTGTGGTCCTAACAAAAGTTAGGTTTTACTTCATTACAAAGAGATTTTATTGTATTTTGATAACAAAAAAATACATACCATGAGGATGATCACAATTATTTCTATATATTACTCGAAATTATTTACGTAAAAAGATAAATTATATTTACATAAAAACTTTCATTACAATTTTATAATAAAATACTATACTAAAACACTAGAAAAATCCAAAAATCAACACAATAACATTAACACGAAAATGACGTACGAAATGAACGTAGATTATAAATAAATATCCATAGACTAAGTGATTTTTTATTACACTAGAGGATAGAAAATTTCGTATTGATTCCATTATGCCAAACTTCTTAATAGAAAAGTAGTCTCTAAACACTAAGTATTTATGGGTTAAAGTGCTGTGGGTTGGTGCGGTCACATTTTACCTCTTGAAAATCAACGAAATATCGAAGCGGTCAAACTTAGACGCTTGCCGTTTGAGAGGTCAAAACATTTGTTCGAGCACCACCAAACTATCCCTGACCTTTGTCGAGTTATGTCATTAAAATTGGGTTGGCGGCCATCTTGTTTTCCTTAATTTTGAGTTTTTTTTTCACCACCGCTAGAATTGGCCTAGAATGTAGGTCGATATTTCTCTTTGTACATACATACAATTTGTTAAGACACGACCTCGCCTAGTCTTACGGTGTAGCCGGGCAGTAGTACACCATCTCCTCCAAGAGCTGAACACGAACGTTATTTTATTCGTATTATTTTCAGCGAACAATACAAAGGGTTCATCTTATTATTATCATTTAAATCCATATGTTAATTTGATATCCATATCATGGAGGTGAATAAAAAACTTCAGACCGCCATCTTTAGGAGTTCACCAAATTGGATTTATAGTTTTTTTATTCATGTTCTTTCCATCAAACCCTTTCATTTACCAAATACCCACATTATGGGAGTGTTGTGATTAATGTGACATGTCACAGCCGTGTAGTGGCGGTTGAGAATATCCACTACCCCATATCTTCCCGTGGGTGTCGTAAGAGGCGACAGAGGGAGGCAGGCAGGAGATGGGCAGCAGCATCTTCCTGATAACAACTGTGATATAATAAAAAACTGCGGTTGCCAACCCGCTCGCCAAGCGTGGCAACTATGGCAAATATCCCCCCATGAATAACGACGCAAACAAACGGCCCCCAGTCCCCGGCGGCCCCGCTATTCCTGGCTACGGTGGCGACCATGGTAACGGCGGGGCAGGGGGTGCTAAGAATCTCCGGTGGAGGTTCGGTTGCCACCTACGACAACTCGACCTGGCAACATTTAACGCACGTACCCTGAGGACTGACGAGAAGATCCTGGAGCTGGAAGAAGAGATAGACAAGTTGCGCTGGAATATTATAGGATTATCCGAGGACCGAAGAGAGAGGGAGGACACGGTGATTCTCGAATCCGGCTACTTGTTCTATCACCGGGAGGGCGACCATCTGTCCCAAGGAGGTGTTGGATTTATCGTCCACAAGTCTCGCGTTAACAACGTGTATCGACGAGGGTTGCGTACCTTATACTCAGAATCACCAAACGGTATTCGCT